CGTAGGAGTGTAGGAGTGTCGAACACAGAAGAATTATGGCCAATTAAAACGGTGTGACAATGCGTACTGCTGGAAAGGAAAGTGGTAAAAGATTGAAGACATTCGCTCAGGAGTGTACTGGAACATTCTCTTTGAGCAAAGTTCTCTCACCATTCACAGTTTTGACAGTGACTTGTTTACACGAGAAGCGAAGCTGCTGATATTGCATGTAGGTAGCACCTATTTAGTGTTCCGGAAACCAGCCACGTTATGGGAAAATAGCTCCGACGATCGCGATCGTGTTTGCTGCCGGTTTCACGTGTATTTTGGTCACTTGAGAATGTTGTAGCTTTCCGTTTTTGAAACACACTACTAGTAAAGTTAGAAGAAAGTGTAGGCAGCCTACCTAGAGGCGTAAAACATAGTCTACTAGGCAGATGAAAAAATGATTCTGGCGTAAGCGCGGCGGCCATGTTTGTTTGTTTGTGTTTTTTTTTTCTTGCAACTTTTAAAGGTCCCGGGTAAATTGGAACCCAGTCTGCGCGCGCCAAAGAAACTATATCCAGCCTCCGGTAGAAGAGTGATCTGAGAATCTAGTGGGCTTAGTAATAAGTGGGAAAAAATTATCAGAATACAGTATATTAAGATAATATTCAGTGTTAGCATGCTCGCGGCAGCAGTTATACAGAACATTACATGTCTTCAGACCCGATCCTAAAAGTCCCAAACAACAAAACACCACTGGGGTCTGGGAAAAAGTGTAAATATGTCAAATTGTGAATTTTACATTCAAAAATACAAATCAGCAATCCCTGTCCCACCACACCATGTTGAAAATGGTAAAAAATACGAATTTAGATCGAAAGGGAGACAACACCCCAGATATGAAGTAGCCACTCGAACTTCTACGTATACTACAAGTGATTCAAAGAACTGTGAAGAGTCCTACCTGGCAGTCAGTTCATGTTTATGGATAGTCTCCAGAAGTTTTACCACCATCATTGGAACCCAAAACTGGTTTTACTTGTTTCAGAATACTACGCAATACTGAAAAATTGTAACTAATAAAATTATTACCTTTCAAAATGTTGTTTAATAAGCACATTAAACTGAAATACTCAAAATATTCTTTTTTATTTTTGTTTTTATACAGTTTAAAACGTTTTGCTTTTGATACTAATTACCTTTACTGAGCTGGTCTTCTGGCTGAAAGACACATAAAACAGATTTCAGTAGAAACTTATTTAACAACAGTTATTCATCTACCCTCTCCTCCCTTAGCAATAAGGTAGGGTGGATATCAAAGGCTCTCCCAGTATAAGAACCTCTGATGCTTCATGAACAGTCGGTGGATCATGAGACGTCTCTTTCTCAGCCTCTTGTATCAGTTCTGAAATAAGCAAGACTACAATAAGGAAACTGGTGACCATTGTCAGATTAAAGCTCTCTAATACTGCAGAGCTAAGACGCTAAGTGAAAATTATCCCAATACAATGGGTAAATAGTTGAATGGTTCAGTTACAGAAGTGCAAGATGTTCTCTTTAAAACCCTAGCTGTCACTCCCAAGATCAAAATTTTAGTAATTCTCCTTACTGTCTCCCATACAACTGTTACAATGTAAGTTTGGAAAATTTGGTTTTAGATAAATCAAAATTCCCCTTATTTATATTTGTCTTTATTCTGATCACTTGTCTGCTTGTTATTGTATTGATATTGTATGGGAAAATTTCAGTCTGCAGGGGTAACTCGTGGAAGTTAAAGGTTAAATTCAATTTGCTTGAAGGACATCAACCTTTAATCTTTTTAACATTGTATACTTCAACACTGATGCAGACAAGATAGAGGTAGAATTACAAAAAGCATATTTTTTTCTACACAAAAAAAGGCATCTACTGATGAACTGTACAGCAAAAAATTAAAAAAAATTAATCAGAAAATTTATTTCACCTTTGAAAAAACTGATAAATAACAGAAAATAGCTCACCAGGTCCTACTGCCATGAATGTCAAGTTTGCCATCTGGGCAAGTGCTTCTGTTAGACCAAACTGAGTTACATCACCAAGATTTTCTTCTGCTGAGTCAGAGTCACTCTCTTGGTCTCCAGTTACAGCACCATGTACATCCTATGTATCAAAATGAAAAGAAAAAAAAAAACTAAGAAATAAGAAGACTAGCAACATGAATGTTTCACAAACCTTTTTTATGTCTTTCATTCTTATGTCAAATTTAGATAATGGGCGATAAAGTTTACTAATAAATCACGTGTAGTTTGGTCATGTGTTTGGTTAGTGCTACAGTTATCAGTTTTGTCTAGATTAATCAAAGCTACAAATGGTGCCTGGTGCTTGTAACTATTAGATAGCCACTAATACCTGAGTGCTCTGTTCAACGCATACATATTACCTGGTACCAGAGCTTCCTAATCACCTTCCCAAGCTCATCTTTTAGCAATTAGTCAAATCAAGATTAAAGATAAGAATTTTTGCTCTATATTGCATCTTATATTTCTTGCTTTTTTATGTCAATATTAAGCAATGTTGACTCTGGTCACTCAGGCTTTGTAGTAAATTCAAAGATAAATTATTTGGTCCTCAAAGTAAGAGCTGCCTTTTGTGCAAAAGGAAATGGCATTAAAAAATAAGGTGAAGTTGTTGAGAGTCATTTAAGTACACTTAAGAAATACCTACAAAAAACAAATGTTGAAGTTGAGAGGTTTACACAACAAACCTTCTCCTGAAGGAGCATTCTCAAATAGTCGATTCTCTTACTTCTTGAAGTCAATTGGGAATACTCAGAATACATCTGACTCAATCTAAAATTATAATATCAAAGATACTAAACTAATTCCTGTAGTACAGTTGAGATAATCAGCTGTTCCTTGACTGTATAACCAACTAGAGAATGTACAAAAAAAATCACTAAATTCCCAAAACAGAGAGAATCAAAGGAATCAAGAACAAGTTCTTCAGCATGTTTCACAAATGAGTTCCAATGGGAGATCACTGAAATGCATGAATCAAAAAGCCATAAAAACGTTGGCACAAAGTACAGTATCAACAATACTTACAAAACTGGAAAGTGTTAACCCCTATGGGGGCTTATATTTACACTATCACCCTACTCTAACAAAACAGTTATTAAACAAACATGTGCACTTGTAACAACTTATCACTGATAGAAAATTAATCCTCACACAATCCCTATGACAGGCATTTCTCAACACATATACAGAGGCTTTGTACCACAATACAACCGTGTGTTTTTACTTTGTCATATTTTGCTGCAGTCGGGGTCTTGTTTTGTTGTCCATTTGCATAAAGTTTGTTTTAGCTGCAAGAAAAAAAATAATGACATTAATGATAATGATGACAATAACAGAAAAGGATCATTGTGCACCTCACTGTCCAGTTATGAATGGAGTTAATTGACAAACAAAAGGCACTTGCCAATGTTTGATTGTAACAGAAAACAATAATTGGAAAAAAGGGGAAATCTTGAAGGGTTTCCTGTAATTGTAAGACCTAAAAAATTTGAAAGGAAGCTTGCTTTTTTATAGGTGTTTGGTTTAAATAGTGAGAGTGTAGTTTGTTTGCCTTACTATCCCTATTTTGTTTTTTCATTTTCTTTCTTTCTCTGATAAACTATGTTCCTTCAATCAGGTGACTATATAAGATGATGATTCATAATTGAAAAGCAACTTATTCCCTAACAAAGTAATTACAAAATAACATATTACATAGCTACTGTAGTGTTTCTGACAGCTGTCAATCACAGTGTTTGGAATCCACACACGGTCTAAAACAAAAGGAGTTATTCTGTAGTGGGGTATCGTCTCGCATGTTGATTGAATAATTATCGTTGTGTTTGCACCAAATGTCTCATTGGTTATTTAAGCATAAACACCACAGCTACCGAGAACTTGTCAGGTAGAAGTTTTTATCATAATCTAACACCAAATTATCTAAAATTAATTGACAGGGAAATGTGTAGCAGATCTTAGGAGCTAAGCGGTTAAGAAATAATAACACTGTCTCATGACTGACAAGGGTGCCATGGCTGCCCACTAATTCATAAAATATTTGGCTAAAAACTTACTATAATATGGGCTAAACTCTGGCTCCAAGTCCATTATTTTTTCTTTGAAAGTGATCACACTTGGATGTGGCACTTTCTTTGGAGCAAATTTAATTCTGAAATAACCAAAAAAGATGATTAAGTGTGGTGGTTGCTTTCAGGAATAGCACAGGTTTCACATGGATGCTGACAGCCATTGAAATGTTAAATAATTATTCCAAATGCTCTGTGTAATTAATCTAAGAGGTGACAAGGGAGTGTTTCTGACCAGACTACAATTGCCACTTTGAAAATTAGAAGTTCAAACATACAAAAGAAAACAGGAATGGAATTATAAACATAAAAAAAGTTGTGCAAATCATTTTAGAACCAGATTTGCATACCTACAAGTGTAAGTGAGCAACAACTGTTACAACAGAAAATAAATCAGAGCCCAGTTGTTTGAAGTGTGGCTAGCACCATCCCAGTTATAATTGAATGCAGATTTCTTTATTCCTCTGTTCAAAACCTTTTTTTTCAGATGATTTCCACTATCCTTTTTTGGAGCATTCAATCATCAAATTGAAGACAAAAGGAATGGTACTGAATTTTCTTTTAAAGCTTTCAAATCTGAAATCAGGTTTCACATTAACACTGGATTATCTTAACCTAGCTTTGAACAAACTGGCCCAGCAATGTAAAAGAGCTCAGTCCAGCTGTTAACAATGTTTGGAAAAACAAATAATTAAAGCTTTGCTCAAGAAGTGTACTGAAATGTCTTGGGAGTGTGGGCCAAAGGAAAAATCTGAGTCCTCAGATCCAAAAGGATTACAATCATGTAACCTGTTCTTACATTCCTGAACTGTTCATGCATGTATCTCTACAGGCTATACTAAAGACACCAATACTAACTAAACCGCCTACCAGTTAGCTCAATTGGTATAGCACCGGACTGTTGTGGGGGAGGTCGAGAGTTCAAATCTCGCCGGACAAACACTCAGGGTCTTTAAATAACTGAGTAGAAAGTGCTGCCTTTGTAATAATAATTATCTGCAAACGGTTAGACTTTCTAGTCTTCTTGGATGGGGACGAAAAATGGAGGTCCTGTCTCACAAGCCCTTAAATGTGATTTAAATTTGTGGGACGTTAAAGAACCCACACACTCCTTGAAAAGAGTAGGGCACGTAGTGCCCGGTGTTGTGGTCTATCTTTGTGCAGTGTCTATCCAGGGTGAATTGGGGGGAGGGATGGTGCCTTGCATGGACCTTGTGTTCCGTTCGCACTAACCCTTCCGGGTCTAGTCACACCAGGTAAAGTCGTTAACAACAATAACTAACTACTTTTGGGATCCATACCACCATTAATCTAAACTTTCTGGATTAACTAAGCTAGACTTGTTACCTATTTATCTATCTTCATTTACATACACTACCCTGCATTGTTGCCTGAACCCCGCGGGACAAGTTCCAAGTGTGGAAATGCACTTTGTTGTAAATAATATCTGGGTGGATGATGGGTTTCCAGCTATAACATAGCAAAATATCTTAGAGACACAATTTTATTAATTGAATATGAAGGTGTTGAGTCACTGGTCTGTATTATAAGATCTCCTTTGAAACAACAGATGTATGATGAAATAATTTTAGTACTAGAGGTTAGAACCATGAAAGACTTGAAATTTTAGGGAGGAGGAGTCCAGCTGATCCAACTCCCAACTCCTTTAAGCCTACTCTTTGTTCATGCTCTACTTTCTTAGTATATACCAAAACAGTGGATAACATTGAAGGAATGCTCTGATTGGCTACTCCAACTCCAAATATCCTTTGCTATTGACCTCTGAGCAGCTGGCACAGGATTTGTACCCAAAAATATATATAAGTTAAAATCATCTCTTTTTTTGCCATATTAGTGCACAACTATTCTCCTGACTGTTGGTGGCTAGTGGTGGATACTTACTTTGCCACTTTGCAGCTCAGTTAATGTTCACCACTAGTCACCTCTCAATCTGTGAATAGTTGTTAAGTAAACTAAACTTTAGTCTGAAATATAGTCCTGCTGCTCCATGAAAAATAAGCAGATCAGGCCCTAATCATTGTTCCACACAATTAAGTACTATCATAAGCTGATGATGTTAAACAAAAAATATGTACCTAATCATGAAGTAACTATTAATGTTAGCAGTGTAAATTACATTTAACTTTAGTTACTATTTTCAGCCATGTATTAGTTCATATTCACTTGAAATTGGCATCTACAATACTTATAAACAAGCAGAAACAAAATTGTATCGCAAGGTTACAAGTTAGTGCGAAATGTTAAAAAAATTTTAAGTAACATGTAACAATTGTTAGTATTTTTCAATGTAGACTATGAAATGTCTCCAGTAATAAAAAATGCTACACTAACAAGTAATAGCCTAACTCATGTAATAACATCTAGTACACTATTGTTAGATTTTGGTACTAACAGTCTTTCTATCTAGATTTAATTAATAACCAAACAAATTTATAACAACAAGAAGTGATACCTGATCACACAAGCCATAACCATAAAAGCCATATGCAAAGGCAAGCTCTAATTGGATATCTCCAGCATACTGAGAAAAAAGAAATCAATATTTTTCATTTCAATTGGCATTTACTCGTGTCTCTCTTTACAAGCATCCCTTGTTGCTAGAAGCTCTGAATTACTTACAGTAGTATTAAATCAAAACCAGGGCCAGAAACTTCCTTTTTAACTCACTTGTCCATTGGATTAGCCTACAGCTGTAGTGTTTACTAATGACTTGTCTGAAAAAATCTGATTACAACGACTACTGGGTATGAAGCAGTATTCACTTTGGAACTAATGGCCATACTTTGTGTGATGTAACCTAACATGTAACTTGCACAAAATTAATTAGGATAACTTTACCAAACTCAGGTAAGGAAAAGGTTTTTCCCCTATTCTTGGCAAGTGAGGTCATAATTTCCCTTGGCCAAATGGAAAAATTACTTGTCCTAGATGTTCTGACAGTTCGAGTTTCCTGCCCTGGAAACTAATTAATCATGGTGACAAATCTAGGTAATCTAATAGAGCATGACGGCCAAGTAGACTGTTGTGCTTACTTTATAACTTGCAATACTTGTTTACTTTGAACTTCGTCATAAGTGAAAGTAGCCTTAACAAAGGATTGTGCTCTACCTGTTTTTTTCTGTTCTGTAACTCAAATGTCTCCATAGACCATTGTTTCTATAAATTGAAAATGAAATTGATAACCATTTGATAGCTTTTATGGCCCAAAATTCAACCTTAAATTTATTTATTCATAATTACAGACTATCATTTGATTATTAACTACTAGTAACTGAGACTGAAGCCTTTCCATTATTTATTTATTATTTATTTTTCTCAAACCTCAAACCTTAGACTATGCCACTAGTCTGAGGTTTGAGATTTTTCCTCAACAACTGAAAGCTCAAGGTTATTAAATTGTTTATTATGTGGCCCACAAACTCAAGAAAAGGAAAATATATTCAAGCAGAAGTCATCAATTACTATCCAGCGATACATGCCTTTACCTATTCATTCATTGACTCGAACCCATGCTAAATTGTTGAATTCGAACCTTTAATAGGCCTTACTTCACTTAGAACCTAACTAACGACTAAACACAAAATGGCAGTCACAGTAGTAAATAGCCATAAAGTGAAACCGCTGGTCATGCAAAATGTGGGCAGGGCACAGGAAGCCCAGCCTTAACAAACAGAATGGCAATATTACAACAACCACTATATCACATACTCCATCAAGAAACACATTTAATTTCAGGAAAAATGATTCTCAGAGCCTTAGAAAATTACTTCTGTCAGTAGAGTGGTGTCACCCTGTGATAGGAAAAATTTTGTACAATTTTCAAGGCAAAACATTGACTGGAGTGCTGACAAAAATGACAGAAAAGTGCCTCAAAATAGTTTAAGCATGTCCAGCCTCTTTGTGAAAGAAAATGTAATTGCCACTGAATGCACTGTTCAGAATATTTCCCCTCTAGCAAAATTTCATACTAGGTAGTTTTAAACTGCACCTGTCAGTAAATATTATTTTGAGTCTACTCTCTCTAACTGTTAATTGGCTCTTATCATCTTCATGTGCTCAAATTTTCAAAAAAATGAAAAGAACTACTGTGGTACCATGGTACATTTTGCACTCTTTCTAATTTGTATAATCCATAATCAGCCTGTGGACATTTCTGCTGTATTACTTTGGTCTGATCTCACCCTTAGCCAATGAGAATGTGCGTTATATCAGCCACAAGCCTAAGCCAATTATAATAATGCACCATGATAAAAGATTATCTACAGTAGTTTTACACAGTTTGAATTTAGCATATACACTGTTCCCAATTAAAAATTACACAACATGCAAATTTCTACTTAAATTAGACAATTCCTTAAATCACCCACCTTAGCAAGCTTGATCATGTGAAACTCAGTTTTACCAAGAAGTTTGTGTTTTGGGATTGGCTGCAATCTGTCAAACCCCAGGACAGCAATGTTAACTTCATTTACTGAACTTGTTGCTTTGGGAGAGACCTGAGGTAACAACATGAACACATTGTTCACTATTAATAACTATTGACCAAAGTGAAGGTGGCTAGTGGTTGAAATTTACTGAGCTGCAACAGAGCAAGATAAATATCCGCTGTTAACCACGGACTAATTGTTTGTTGTGATTAGTTATTTTAGTGTATACTGGTACAGAGAGATAACAAAGCACAAAAAGATGATTTTAACTCATTCATTCCTACTTTGATTTTTGGGCAAAATCTCACCTTTGTGCTTGGAGGTAAATATTATGGCAAATGATATTTGGAGTTTGAGTAGCCAATCAGAGTGTGTCTTCAATGCAATCTACTGTTTTAGTAATTATTCAAGAGTTTCTGTATATGAGGTGCATGATAAATCATGGTGCTATATACAGTGTACTGAATTAACCCTTGACCTAACTCTTAAGATCTCATCAATTATTCTTTTTACTGTCTGCCATAACAATTCTTATGATACTAGTTCAGACATTGGTATTGTATCAACTAATAATCCCTTGATTGATAGTTTTCTTTATTCTCATCACTTGTCTGCTCAAGATTGTATAATATTTGTAAGGAGAAATTCTGCCTTGGTTGCTCGTGGGAGTGAAAGGATTAACTAAAGGAAAACATTCTGTTTTACAGATAATGTTATTGAGTACCAAACAACAGAGTTCTAATGCTTTTGCAAACAAATAACAAAATTGAAATATAGCTAGCGCTACAAGTACATTACCTGAAATACTACACAACCTAGAAATTAAATGCTCACAGCTAGGATTTTGGGCAAGCACAAAAATTCAGAAGAAGTATTTGAATCATTGCAACAGATTTGGCACTTACTGTAACAGAGAAATTCTTAATCTCATCCCAGACCACACAACCTTTTTTGAAAGGTAACTGTAATGAAGTGCATTTGATAACTGAGCCAACTGTTATTTGGACATAAATTCCAAAGTGTTCGGGGGGAAAGTTTTCTTCAAAGTACAAGTTGCGGCAGCCAAACACATGGACAGCAAAAACACCTGTCTATAATGGAAGAAAAAATCAGTTAAATGATTACATAAAAAGGAAAGGCATCCCACTGTTCAGCATGCCTGTTCATTTGTTAATTCCATAAATAATTAGTAATACTGTTCAAACACAAAGGGAACCATGCCATTCAGCAGGGCTACAAGCTCCACTCCATCTAGTGTCTTAAAATCATAAATTGATTGCCAGAAATAGTCGTTTAGGTGCCAAAACCTCATTAAAAAAATTGCCTGTAAAACCTTGTAAAAATATAGGAAAATGACAACTATCACCATGATGAGAATCTCACTAACTGCTCTTGCTGGGAAAAACAGAACAAAACAAAACATGACAAAAAGACCTGGAACACCTACAGGTAGTGTTGCCTTCTCCACCAGGAGTGGGTCTTTCTCTTGAATTAGACCTTTCTTCCCACCTTCAGAACCCTTCAGCTGACCTACAAAACAAAGAAAAAGATGTCGTTTTTTAAAATGTATGAGAGCAATCCTCGCAGTATTAAAACTCTACTTATGTAGTGGTGGAAATAAGGCCTGAAAAAAAAAAACATTCAGGCCTGTATAGAATTTGAACCCATGACCTGTGCGATACGGGCGCACTGCACTGCATAAAAACAATGTAGGTTAACCCATTACAAATTAAAACAAAGCGGTGTTCTAGAATTACATTTCAAAGCTTACCGATTCCTGGAAGAACGTCGGCTGCTTCTGGATGCATTCTTATTTGGGCTTTTTAATTTAGATTTAATTCTCACTTCTCAAAACAAACGACAGCGATCGAAAGGCGGCGCGGTCACTTAACACAAACACACCAGATCGAGGCAGTAATTTTGGCGCGTTTTTCAGCGCAAAGGTGAGTTTGAGTTCGCGTCTCTCCACAGTGTTTTCTATGTTCACTTGAAACGGATTGTTCCCTCATTGGCGATTTCATTGTTTTTATGGGCATCTGTGTGTCTGGAATAATTTCACTTTAAACAATAAGGGTGAGTTTCCTTTGCGACCTGAATTACAACTAATGATCATTTTGCTAAGCTGTGGACTGTACATGTATGTCGATTACTCTTAGTTCACTTCAAATTATTGATCACTCCACGGTTAAGCTTATACTTTTTGCCCGACGAATTGAGAACAAATAACAACGAATGCTGTATTTCGCTATGTAGTTATTTTAGTTGGTTCGTTCCATGTGATCTCTTCGCAAAAGTCGCTGTAATTCTAGAGATAAATGTAATGGACTAATTTTAATCTCCCCACCAGGTTCACGAGCTGAATTTGATGTATGTTCTGTTCCATATGGTATTTGTTGTGTCATTTGTTGTATTTTGATTTCTTTAAATCTTAAACCATTACACTTTTTTTATTTTACAGAGATGGAAAATCTAAACGACCTGGGAGATTACCTCAACACGGAAATCGTGTGTACCCTGGCAGGTCTTGGGTATTCAGAAGGGAGCGAGTATTACAAAAGTCCAGATTGTCTTGGTGGGTTGGTTATTTTTTCAAGCAGTAACCAGTTTTATTGAATATTGGGAGAGATTTCCGTCATAACTCCATACCATTCTAAATTGAAGTCACAGTCCCAAAGGAAATCCATTGTTTTGGCCATTGTTTTCTTTTATCCAAGAGCTGTATGCATGTATGCATTATCAAGTGTGACCTTCTTTGGGAAAACGGACACTAACGATATTCCGTTAAACGTTAGAAAACTAACGGATAGCTAACAGTTTGTCCTAATGTTCAAACAGTTTGTCTTAACGCTCAAACGATTTGTCCTAACACTCTTAATGGTTCGTCCTAACACTCAAATGATTTGTCCTAAAGCTCTAACGGTTTGTCCTAATGCTCAAACGATTTGTCCCAATGCTCTAACAGTTTGCCCTAACGCTCTAACAGTTGATTCTAACGCTCTAATGGTTATTCCAAACATTCTAACACTGTGTCCCTATGTCTTAACGGTTTGTCCTGACACACTAATGGTTGGTCAGCCTGTTTCACTTTGCTCCTTATGGTTCACCCAAGCAGTCAATTGAAAAAAGTAGGGAGCAAGGAAGTGTAAAACGGTGTTGCAAAGTCTTTTTGAAAACAGCTAACTGGCTGAAGGCTTTTAACGCCGAAAGAGTCCGCTTTGACGATTGTGAAAATCACCAATGATCAGGCGAATCGAGTCTTTTTCAGACGGGCAAATCTATGTTCTGCAAAACAGTTGCAATTTGACAACAGCTACAGGTCGTCCGGTTTCTCCGGGAATAGGTGGTTTGCACATTATGTCATCGCTGCCATATTAACTTCTTTTGTTCATCCACCAGCATTTGTTCCTTTCACCACTGTTACCTGTGTCTCTAGAGATTGGTTGTAAACCACGTATATAATTTTTTTTATACCGGCTACAATTATTATTATGTTGACCGCAGACTGTCATATTTAAAAGAAATTACATCGGGTAAATTCCTTTTTCTCTGGTTAAGTTAAAGGCCGCCGCACACCAGCTGATTTTTTCTCAGCCGATGAAAAACCTTCTGGTAAACACTTTAATGCAAATTTCGGTGAAATTTGATCCATGCCAACTGAAGGCAGTGAAGCATTTAGTGACTACCATTAATTATTTTTCTTTGGCGTGGCGTAAGCTGAAAGCAATCAAGACAACTTAGCGATCGAGACAGTCAAAAAAATAGCTGTACATCTACAAAGGCGAACGATTCGAAAAAGATGCAATCCCTGATGTGCATACTCATTTTTAACAAACTGAGACATTTTAGTAGACACACTATAGTTCCTGTCACCCACAAAGAACTAAAAAAGAGTTCATTAAAGGGAAGACCCTTAGACTTCTAAGAACAAACTCCTCTCAAACAATATTTGAGGAGAAAATTACAAATGAAGTGCATTTGCTAAAGAGAGGCTACCCAGAGGACCTCATTAGCACAACCCTCTCAGAAGTGAATTTAAAGAACAGGAAATTAACTCTTTAACAAAAACAAAAGACGAACCAACGAATCTTGCCTTTTTGTTACACAATATGTACCAACCATCAGTGCCAAACCTAAAGCAAATTCTCACGAGACACTGGCATTTAATAGAAACACAACCACTACTGCATGCAATATACAAAAATCCGCTTCTCGTATCTTACAAAAGAGGACGGTCGCCCAAAGACATACTTGTTAGGGTCAAACTTTGAAGAGGCTACTCTAAACATGCGCAGGGGAGTTGTGTAGGCCTGTCAACCCCATTTTACACTGTTCATCTCTGACCATTTGACAGTAATGAGTCTGTACAGACCCAGCTGGTCGCCTTTCTTTGCCCTTTTAATGGTGATGACCCCAATTCTAACATCAGGAAGCTCGTATTCCAAAATGTTCTTCAATTCAGAAGCTGTGACTCCAGGATCCTGCCTGGAGATCTTGTCTATTTTCTGCTTTACTGGTGATGTGGCTTTCGATGGACGTCTGCGCTTGTCTTCTTTTTGCTGCCCTTCTTCCTTTTCCTTAGAGCGCTGTAGAATTCTAGAGACTGTACTTTTTGCAACAATGATGGTTTCTGTGCTAAGAATTCTGAAAATTTCGGTATGTGATCTGCCAGCATTTGCCAAACAGAGTATCCGATTGTGAACGTATTCACCATACATGTTTCTACTTCATTAAAT